AGGTATCAGTGATTATCTCCTGAATATTGGTGTTGATTGGCTGTCATTCTGATTTAGTGTAAAGTAAAAAGTGGTGGAAATGGACTTTAATTTATCATAACTACTATTTTGACCAGTGAGGGCTGAAAGGAACAATAACATGAAAAAATAGCTGAAAAATGGTTAATGACATTTCTTCTAGCTTTTGTGAATTGAACATGTAGACTCCCATTGCGCTTGTTTATGCTTTAATAACATTTATCTGACGCCCATTGATCTCTGACTGACGGCCTCAATCATTTGAAACTCCTGCACACACTCCTGAGAGATTCCATGCTATGTTACCACTGCTTTTTATGTGAGTCATTTTCGTTTAATAAATCATACTCTGTGTGGATGGTACGCACTATGGTGTTCGCTTTCTTTTTTTGGATTACACGATCCTGGTATTGACATCCTATACTAGTGGTCAGCAACCTGAATGTGGCTCTTTCATCCCTCTGCTGCGGCTCGCTGTCCAGGGGCGGAGCTGTCGCTGGGGCCTGAGGCTGTGGGGGGGCCCAGTGAGGTCCGGACCTGGGCACCCCCCCCCTGGTGGAATATGCGGCAGTGCAGGGTCCCAGAGCAAGGGGGCGGGTCCTGTGACTCGCCTCCTCTCCCAGCCGCATCCCTAGTAACAGGCGGCGGGAGAGGAGAAGTGCGTGTCACATGCCCCACCCCCAACAGTGCACACAATCTGGGTGGAATGCTGGCTGTGAGGCTTGGCAGTTGAGCCCGAATAAGGAGTGAGGGGGAGGAGCGGTTTAATGTAATCCTGCCCAGTTTTTTGGCGGTGGAATATGTGACCACCAATAGGTGGAGCATTCCAATGCTTTCTCAGCTGTTCCAGGGCAGATCGACATCGCAAATCGTATGTGCAGGAGAACCGATCTGCCCTGGAACAGCTGATCGGTCCTGAAATGTCACTTCTGTCCGACTTTGTGTGTGGTGTGGAATGTGAGATCGCACTGTGCAGAGTCCAGTGCGTTACTAAGCCCACATATACCTATATACATGCTATACATAGCATAAAGGTCAAAAACGATATATGCAGTGTTATCTTCATTTTAGATGTCAAAAGGGTTTTGTGGCTCCCGGTGTTTTCTTTTCTGTGGGAAACTGGTCCAAATGGCTCTTTGAGTGTTTAAGGTTGCTGACCCCTGTCCTATACTGAGGAGGCCTACAGATCGATAAAGATTGGAGGTCATTGTTTTCCTACTAAAGAAGTGATATACAGATCTGTCTGCTGGTCTGATTACACCATTGGAGGACATCTGTGAGCGATTGGAGCTGAGGGCCCCCTCCCCTGGATAAGAAGGGAATTGCCTGATTTGGCGATTTGTTGGGGTCTATCAATAAGGTGAGCACGTGGTACACTTGGTGAAGCAACAAGAAATATTCATCACTATTGCCATTATATGGACATTTTCAGAGTTCTGAAAATGTATAGACTTCACACCTGATCGATTTTTATTCACTGATATTTGTTTGAGTCATTGATTATTGTTTTTTTGTATTGTTCATTGTTGTAGCTCTGCACATTTACTATTCATTAAACACCAAAAACAGTTTTTCCTTATATTCAGCCATTGACTGATGAGCATGGTTGCTGGCATATAGTTGTCACTTAAACAAGTTGGCCATCTAGTGGGCAGTTGGGGTGTTTAAACTGTTTTTGGGCTCACTACTGGCAGGAGACGAATTTATAAGCTGTCAACCACAGAACTACTTACTTTGGCCAGATATGAGCCAGCTATGACTAGACAGTGTCTTCTACGGGAATGTATGTGCCGTGAATTTGAAACTAACAGCGCTTAAATTAAGCTTTGTGTTAATACAAGTGTTTAGAATTTTTTGTTTTGTTTTTTATCCACCTCCCGTCCACCGAACGTTGAAAGACGGCCAGACGGGAGTCTCCTGGCCTGGCCAGGAAGGGGGTCTAAACACCCCGGTCAGCAAGTGGTTAAGCAAAAATGAGCTTTGTTCATAAATGTAAGAAAGAACAATAAAATAATCAAATCTGCAGGTTTCATTTATCGCCCATCGTGCTCTTTTGTGTTGGGGAACCAGGCGAAATATACTTAAGAGCCAATCTAAATTTAAAAAGGGTTACAGGTTGAAACCAGTGTTTAATAAATGTTTGGGTTTTTTAGTGCATCTATTTGGAAGTGATAGTCAAAATCCATTCCTGGTTATTTTGGCATGAGGGCATAGACGTACATATATCAATATGACCATTCAGTTGATCTTTTATTGCATCTAAACTAATACAGTCCAATACAAATTGCAAGCCAAACACCCTCAGTTGGACCAGTTTTGACCTGGGAATAATTTTGTCGCTCTCTTCTGATTCCCCAAACAAATATCTCTGTGTTCCGGAGACCCCATCGTTATTCAGTCAGTTTTCATCGATCTTTTACATTTCTGACTGATTTATCTGTTGCAGATGCTTGATTTTTTTATCTGATGATGAATCCCTTGTTAAGGTCCCCACACACCTTGCGATAATCGTACAAAAATTGCAGGAAATCCCGCGATCGTACGATTATCGTAAGGTGTGTGGAAGCCGTGCGACCTCTACTACTGTAAGGTCGCATGGCTTTTAACTTACGAACATGTAACCCGCCGAGAATCGTACGATTTTCGGCGGGTGTGTAGCATGTTCGGCATTGCGGTCATCGGAAGCACGCCCCTCAGCAGGGCGGGCTTGCGACCATCGCAATTACGATCTGCCGATCCAAGACAAAAGTCTTGCGATGGTTGTAAGGTGTGTGCCCAGCATTAGCAATTGCTTGCTCTTCCCTTTTGATCTATTACAAATCACTGTATTGCTGTCACCCATCAGGATAACTTGTCAGTAGATACTGAGGCATTTTTTCGACCTTCTTGCAGTACATTAAAATGAAAGGGGTAATGAATATACACAGTTGTTAAGCGTCAGTATTGTATGCGACAGATAATATAAGCGAGCCATAGTGAGCAAGTTCAAAGTAGACATGTCATGAAGATACACAGGCTGCCATTGCTGATGATCTGAAATTGCCTAATGGTTTGGCTGTTGCTCTGACCTTCTGGGTTCAATGATTTGTATTACTGACCTAGGTCAATCAGGAAAGGCTTAGAAATATCAGAGCTCCCTCTTTGCATACATGTTCTGTCTTAGTGAAGCAAGAGGGTTGGCATGATAGCCTGGCAGCTAGCATTTTCAGAAGGAATGGGTATCTGTAGAAGCCTCCATGTTTCCCTAATGAAAGGTTTCCTTTAAAGCCAATGCGTTCACAGCCTGTTTACCTGGAAACTAGAACAGATTACTTTCTGAGAAGTAAAGGTAAGGGTGGAGCATGCCGCTCCACCCTTACCTTTACTTCTCAGAAAGTAAAGGTAAGGGTGGAGCATGCCCACCCCACCCAGGGTCATTTCAGTGCAGTTGCCAGCTATAACTTACATAAGTTTCCTGTAATGCAACAATATTCCCTTCAACTGCTTTTGAGCAGCTCTAACATGGCATTATGATTAATTTTATCCCCTCATCCTTACATTGAGTCCGAATTTTTATACATGACATACTAAGCAGTGCAGATGGAACGCATCCAGCAAGTCGGTATAGTCACCATGTTCTCGTAAGCAAAGTATTCAGTGTAATAGTTAATTCTCTAAACTCCTCTCCCCCTCCCACCCAACTTTGCACCCAAATGTTATGTCCCAGTAACTGCGTTTTATACAGTAGGTAAATTAGGTGTAAAGAAGTCGGATAACAAAATAGACTCACAAAGCTGAAAAACATAGCAAGATTACATGACACAGGCATTCTTCTTACTATTTAGATACACGTGAATTGGAGTTGACCTGTTAGTGTGAGACTCCATACCTGAAGTCACCACGTTGCTCTACAGCAATATCTAGTCATAATGTGAAAGCATGACATAGCAGTTGGCAGGCTTTAGGCACATTTTTCCCAGGTTTCTAAACTATCTAAGCTATCAAATCCGAATGTATGTGAAAAGAATGTACGAGCATATTAAAAGTAGTGGTAGGGCACAAGAAAAATCATTACTTTGTCTAGAAGAGGCACCTCAACTAACTTGAGCTCAATTTGTAGCCCTCTCCAGGACAGCATGAGTCACAAATGGATAGATCTTAAGTTTCACTGTATGAGTCTGCAGGGTTACAGTAAATGAGTGCAGGAAGAGGCTATCTGTCTGCAGTGTTCTACATTGTCTAAGGTATCAAGGGCATATTAAGAAACAGTGGAGTGGCTTAAAAAGTACCTGGGGATGTTCAGGGTTAAAATAGCATCGAGCCAATGTGTTTAGTCAGAAAGGTCCTGCTGAACTGAAAATAATGTATGTTATAAAACCATATTAGAGATGCTTATTTAATCCCAATGATTCTTGCATAAGCTAGACTTGGCTGGAAATCAAAGGCAAGCTCTTGAGGGAAGCAGAAGAAGTAAACTTTACATCTACCACCGTTTACTGAGTAACAGCATGTCATATTTGAGATTTAGGTCCGGGAATCCCTGTACAGCAATAAAAGGGGCCCTAAGGTTTTAAGTGACCATTCGCACATATAACAGACTTGGTGACTTATTGTATTGGAAATAAATAGTAGTGTGGAGGTTCTGCAGGAATGCATGCGGATTGTTCTTTAAATGCTTCGTGAGACCAACAAACTGCAAGATGTTCCTCCTCAGTCTTCCATGTCATCCTGGCATTGCTAGATATTGGTTACTCACATTTTACAGAGCAGTAAAGGGAGTTGTCATCCTGCCTAAAAAATTTGCACCTCAACAAGATATGGAGCATATTAGATTCTCAGAGTATAGACTGATGGGAGCTCCACTAAGATGTGCCTGGCTACATGAACAGATTTACAATTAGTGGTTTCATTGATCTATGTTTGCAAATATTAGCATGCCCTTCAGAATACAGGTGAGTCTGACTTGTTTAGCTGTTTTTTTTTTTTTTTTTTTTCTGTTGCAGGTTTTTCTGCCCTCCTCCATGTGTGTATCTCATGGGTAGCGGATGGAAGAAAAAGAAAGAACAGATGGAAAGGGATGGCTGTTCAGAACAGGAGTCTCAGCCCTGTGCCTTCATTGGCATTGGGAACAGTGAGCAAGAAATGCAGCAGCTGAACCTGGAAGGAAAGGTGAGTGCATAATGCAGTGCCAGAAGATATATTCTCGCTGATCAGTCACTAATAAATGATGTGCGAGAATTGTATTGAGCCATATTGCATAAGGTGTTTAGGGAAGTCCTTGGTTAGTGCCTTGAGAAAATGATTTCAGGCAACATCATATGTCCATATTGTCAGTGCAGTTAATTTCCATTGATTTCACGGGAGGGCACCCTCGCACATGACACTTTATTTAGATATTGATATCTTAGCCCATAATGGTAAACTTACCCAAAGCTTAAAAACCTTCATGAAAGCTTAGGACCAAGGTATGGTCAAGTCTGCTGATTATTGTGTGCTTAAAAAAAAAAATAGAAGCCATAGACCAAAGATGATTGACGCATTCAAATCTGATTTCTCTGAGTATTTCATTAAAGGAGAACTATGAGGTGAGTGAAAACCACTTATCATAGTTCGAGCCGACTTGTGACAATGAAACTGTTACACGTTGGCTCTATAGATCGGTAAGTGATCATCTTCCTGCAGGGAGCAGAGGCTGTCAGACACCGCTCCCCGCAGGGATTCCCCTCTCCGATACTCCAGCGCTGACTGGACAAACAGACGGGGTACGGGGCGGGCACAGCTGGCTCTGCCTCTAGATGGTCAGAGATAGCTGTCACTCACGCAGCTGGGTGGATCTCAACAGCATTGTCTGGATCCGTCCTGGCTACGGCACTCTCAGTATATAGCAAGCTGTAGCTCGCTATATACTGAGCTTTGGGTCACGGGAGGACGCTAGCATATGTCCTCCTGTGACCCTTTAGAGAACTATAGGATACAAAGGTTACCCCATAGTTCTCTTTTAAGTCATCTGCACTTGGGCCTGTTATCAGCTTTTAGCTGTTGGATGTTACCAAACTGAATCACATGATGGTATATCCAAGTCCTGTCTGTCTGCTGACATTACCAAGTGTATAATACAGCAATTGGGAGAGTCCAGCTTCAAAAGTGACTCCCTTATGGTGTTTTGCATGCTTGCTAAGTTTACAGCATGCTTAGCTCAGCAATGTCCACTTAAACTTGCTACAGTACATGGTGTGGATGGTGTTTATAAGTAAGTCTGACAGTTGTCTTTGGGTGTTAGAATGTAGTAGGAAATTGGGCATTAACAGGTATGTCAAGAAAATACAGAGATAAAAGAAAAAAAAAAAAGAGTAAAATATGTGTACAAAAAGTATCTATAACTGGAAGTTCACATAGCATAATACACATGGAAAAAAAGCCTTCTGTTCCAACTTCTTTAGGGATTACCCTTTGTTGAGTGCAGCAGAGTTTGCAATTTAACCAGTCTTCTGCAGTTGGATAAAGTCCAGATATGCTGCCATATGTGCACTCTCTAGGGATCAGCGCTATGCTTCATGTATCTAAAGTCTTCTAAAGGAAAACTATTGTTGTCCACAGCAACAACGAGATCCTTTAATACATTTTTGAAACCAGAAATGTGGAAAAGTGGCTTAAGCCAGCTGATTGGTTGAACACTTTTCTTTTGAATAGTTTTTGATCAGAAGGCTACGTTTGAAGGAGTAGCTATTTGTTGAAGATGTACTTTGTTTCCACAGAACTATTGCACTGCCAAAACCTTGTACATATCTGACTCAGACAAGAGAAAGCACTTCATGTTATCAGTGAAAATGTTCTATGGGAATAGCGATGACATTGGCGTGTTCCTAAGCAAACGGATCAAGGTCATCTCCAAGCCATCTAAAAAGAAGCAGTCACTGAAAAATGCAGACTGTGAGTATACGTTCACACTTCTAAGATTTATCAACTAGGGAAGTCACAGTAGGTTCTAGAAAGAAGTGACAAAAAGAGAATTCAAATGTTATCTTTTACTAAACAAAGGGGTTGTACACAAAAGAAAAATAAAACACACAAATAAGAGAAAATTGGAAATGATTCTCATTTAATAACAAATAAAAGTTAGTTTTTAGATGGCTGATAGAGAAGACGCGCAGACTAGTAATGTATATCAGAATCCATTATGTCAGATATGAATGATGTGAAACCCCAAATACAGAGCAATGATGTATAGGGAATTTAAAAAATCCCTTTTTGATCATTACAGTATATAAGTCCATGAAGCACCGGGCATAAATGGAATCTGTAAATCCAGTAATTTTTCAGCAGTCTAATGCTGTGAGGAGATACTTTTTTTTCTGTAACTGTATCCAGTCCGTTCTTGTTAGTCGAGAGATAAGTTAGACATCAGAAGCAAAAATACTGATAAATCAGAGATTATTGAAGGCCATGTCCAGCCAAAGGGAGAGGGTAAGAGTCTGAAACCAACCATGGGACACCATTCTATCCAATGATGCCAATAATGGGGCACTATCCCCTCCACTTATAGCAACAATTGGGCATTATTATTTCTTCGCCCACTGACTACAGGTGCTGGGTATTTTTTTTCTTTCACTCCTACTGACCACCGAGTCAGAGGCATTGTTTACTCCCATTTACGCCAGAATATTTTCTACACCTACTGGATAGTCTGCCCCCTTAAAGTTTGGAGAACAGTGAACTGGCCCTTTGTTAAACTAAAAATTATTGTGTTCCCTGCTTTATACCAAATGAAAAGTTTTGACTAGTATTGGGCTTTTTAGTGCACTACTGTATTGTTTGGGTGGTGTGTTTTATAAATAGTTATTTATTTAGCATGAGTGAATGCCTAAAGGACTTCACTTGCACTGTTTGCACTTTCTTCACATTAGAGCACGTTTCATGCATAGCTTCTCAAGTTATACGGAACATAAAGCTATAAGGAAGTCTGTAATATGGGGTGGGAGTGAAATACTTAATCATTAGTGAATACTAGCTTAGGCACATATTTGACACACCTAGGAATGTATGATAGAAGTAGCCCCCAGCACGGCTAAACCTTTTACAGGGCAGACTTTGAGTTCGCAATATGGTCACTTTAATTACTGGATGTTTCCATGTTGTGTCATAGCTGTGATAGATGGGGGTTCAGCCTACATTTTTATTTTAAGATCGGTTTTCATTATCATAAATTATTTAACATGGTTTGAGATGGCCAAGCATGGTTCCACAGAAAGATTCTAAATACCATTAAAATGTAATCGTTTTCATACTCTCTTAGATTATAAGCTCTCACAAGCAGGACCTCACTACCATTTTATCTCAACTTGTATTGTAACTGTAATGTCCTTATACTGTAAAGTGCTGCGCAAACTGCTGGCGCTATAGAAATCCTGTATTATTATTATTGAATGGTAGGAATTTCACATATGTACTAAATGTAAATTTGCCATAACTCTGAATACAGCCAATTTTCTATTTGGCATTTCAGGCTGTGGAAACATTAACTTTTCTGTTCTTTGTTGGAAATGGTCACATGACCTCAGCCGTATGCAGGAGAATATATTTTGCTCAGTATTCGAATTCAGTTTAAGAATATTTGGCGTGTATGTTTATACTTTTTTGTACTATCATACCACTCACTGGGTAGTTTGCTTTTTCCTAACGTGGATATTGTCTTTGTTCCAGTATGTATTGCATCAGGGACAAAAGTGGCACTATTTAACCGGCTGCGTTCTCAGACTGTCAGTACGAGATATTTGCACGTAGAAGGTGGTAACTTTCATGCCAGTTCGCAACAGTGGGGCGCATTTTTCATTCACCTATGTAAGTAAAATATTTTTTAGGTATGACTACACTCAAGGGGGTTTGGCCAGCACAGGCTTTAATAAAGCAGTACAACACTGGACCATGCTTTTATGAATAGATCATACGTGTTTTGTAAATTAATGAATGTTACAACAAATAAACGGGGTATGGCGGCCTTCGTTTACATTTGGACCCTCCTGCAGGTTCTCAGGAAGGTATTTCAAAAGCCTTCTCCAGTAAGAGATCTCCTCTCACTTACTGTCCTAACGACCACCACTTCAACAGACGGGAAGTGAGGAAAACCTGTTACAGTAACACAGATAGAGATACAAATATTTTTATCGTTCAGTAGGGGAAGTCTAGAACCCCAGCCAACTTTTTATTACTGTCTGTGTCCTTGTTGCAGATTTTTCCTCATTTCCTGTTTGGGATAACTGTCGTCACTGTGACTATACACGAAGGAAATCTGTAATGGAGCCCTGGATAGCAGTAAAACACAGCATGGGGTCCAACTTTCTACTTTATTACAAATTTTAAAAAACGAAATTATTTTTTTTGGGCTGCACATACACTTTGCATACAAGACCTGCTTTACTGACAGTCCCCTATATAAGAAACACCTACTAAATGCTATCAAACTTCTGTGGAAAGATAAAAATGACATACCTCACACCCAGCTTCTGCCCCGGAGGTACCAGCAATATCCCCATGCCTTACCACTGCACCTCAGGAAAACTGGGTCCTCGAAGTCCTGAGGACACGTTTCAGCGCACATTATATTTTCATACAAAGTCCCCTTCAAGCTTTAGAACCATTTAATTGCGGTGTTGTCTCAGTGGTGGCAGTTATTTTCAAGGCTGAGACAATATTCAGCCTATTCGTTCTCTAGTAATTGATGGCATAAGTGAATGTTCTGCTTTTTTTTTAGTAAATAGGCTGTATACGTGTGAATAATATGGTCTAACATGTAATCTATCTATATACTCTTTTATATGCAACAAATAGAAATTATTACCCGTTGGTTAACAGTCAATATAACCTTGTCATTTTATGTCATTTGCTTCATTTGTGTGTGATTCTCTAGTGGACGATGAAGAATCAGAAGGAGAGGAGTTCACTGTGCGAGATGGTTACATTCATTATGGACAGACAGTTAAACTTGTTTGTTCGGTTACTGGCATGGCACTCCCAAGGCTGGTGAGTTGTTTATTTATTTTTTTTAATAGGAAAAAGGTAACACACTTTTACATTTCAGCTGATCAAAACTTGCACTTTACTAATAAGTGCGCAATATTGGCCTTTGGTGATCAGAGCTCAGTAGTAATTCTCTACTCGTGGCTTTCAAATCTGAAAACAAATGTTAACCACTTCAGGACCGCGCTCACCGTCAAAATACGTCCTGAAGTGGTTATACCGAGAACATGGTATTGTTTCTAAATAGCCGTTGATGGCTGTTCAGATACAACAGCCTGTATAGACGCCGGATCGCCTGTACAGTGAAGCGAAATGTGTGCCCCCTCCGCCATTACCGCTGGCTTCCCCCGGGCTCAGCTCTCCCCCTTGCGGGCCCAAGACCGGCGCAGCCGATCTCCTCTGACAGATTGGTGGGAGATCAGCAAGCTTCCAGCCGCTGATCTCTTCTCCGATAACTGGACCTGGAAGTGATGTGTATTACATCACACCCGGTGTCGCTGTGTACATTCTCCGGCTCTCAGAAGAAGATGTTGGTGAAGCAGATTTGCTTCCTCAGCTTCTTTGGGGTCCCTAGGTGACATGTCTTCATAAAGGGGACCTGTCACATTAGATTTGTTATTACATAGGCGACTTGTTATCCCCCTATGTGATAGCAATAAAGTTAAATGTAACAAAAAAATTATTTGAAACTAACATATAAAAAAATTCAATTTTTTTTAAAGTCCCCTGCCCCCCACAAGCACACACATACAACACACACACGTCTGGTGTGCCAACGTGCAAAAACAAAAATTGCGCCACACCTGTTGCATATCACTGTGAACCAGTAATCAATGTGATGTTCACAGTGATGAACACTGATGGCGCCGTGTCTCCAAGTTCATAGAAATGGAACTATTTCTCTGAACTATAGGAAATTATGGGTATTGTAGTTTTTTGCGCTTTCACGGGCGAACACAATTTTAAAGCTTGACATGTTTCATATATATTTATATTTACCCCATCTTTTATATTTTACCCAAAAATGTGGTATTTGTTTCTGTGCACTAAATGTCATTTTATTGTATTTTATCCTAAAAATACTGGTTTGATAAACATTTGCACAAATACCGTGCAACATAAAAAATTGCAACTAGCATTTTTTTTATTCAATAGGGCCTCTGCTTTCAGTCCAGTCCGAAGAGGTTTTCTAGCCAAAAATTCAGATTTTATTGTGTGTGCAAATATTAAGACATTGCTCCGGACAGCAAGTGGTTAAAGAAACGTCCAGCTTGATATTGTGCTAATGCCCACAATCGGCTGACAACTCAAAACCACTCTGCAGCTGGGTTTCGCCCTGGCCGTCTGATTGACAGCTAGCTCTGATGCATTCAGCTTACAAAATGAACTTTAGTTATGTTAGTGGCAGGTTTTTTTTCCTTTTAAACAAAATTAGTTATGATGCTTTTTAGGTAAACCTACTAAAAGTAGCCCAGAAGGTCACCTTTTGATGAAGTTTTACTCATTTTTAAGCACAGATGAAGTACTTGGTCTTGAAAATATTGACAGCATAGATCAACTTGGCTGTTTAAAAGCCAAACCTGCGACTTTTACTCTAATTTCTGTTTTGTAAGGAAGAACTGAATTACAGGTCACATGTCTCTACGGGAGCTTAGACTATCTGTGCTTTGTGTTCATTTTCAGATCATCAGGAAGGTGGATAAACAGACAGCATTGTTAGATGCAGATGATCCAGTTTCCCAGCTCCATAAATGTGCGTTCTACCTGAAGGATACAGAGAGAATGTACTTGTGCCTTTCTCAGGAACGAATAATCCAGTTTCAAGTGAGTTTCATTTATCCTGATATATTTCTTCAGCATAGTACAATGGTGTTTTGGGAGCGGGGGCTTTACTTAGTTTAGTTAGAATTTCTGCTCCACAAACAAGCAACCTAGATGTTCACTCCAACTGTGACCTATTTTTATTTTAAACTAATATTGTTGGCTATACACATGATGATATGATCATTTGATATAAGATATTTGGATATAAGAATTGTATTTCTTAATTATACATTAGTGAAATGGGATGAATTATTCAGGTTTATTGGGTTATCCTGCTGCCTTCAGGAGATTGGGAACAAATAAACATGAAAAGGACAGCCCAGTAATAACCCCTACCAATCCCAGCATTCCTCAGTTATTTGCTAGTGTCCTGCGACTTTGCGTGCTGGGTAGGGCATTTGCCCTATTTGTGTAGATGGAGCCCTTGTGGAGCTTAATTATTAGATTTCCCCCTCAGGGGTTAAAATGCTGATTTCCGGCTAGGACACCTTAAGTTGTACAGTCAGTGGCGTAAACAGGAGTGGTGCCAGATTCAAACTTGCTGCTCAAGTAACCTGTTCTGCAGATGAGAATGCTCTGCGTCCTTTTTCTCCCAGTCAGCTCCTCTCCTTGGTGGCTGTACTGCACATGCACACACATCTCTCCCGGTGCTGCTCCTAAAATATTTGTCCAGCAATATTATGATTATTACAGCGACAATTTATGCATTCATGCCCTCAATGAGGGTTACCTAATTAAGTGGACTGTCCTTGTGGAGGGTCCAACTATTTTCCTTAATAAAATTCTAACTGTCCCCGTGAAAGACATTCCCATGTTTACAGACTTGGTGGACAAAAGGCTGGAAGCCCATTCTAAGGCCCTGTTCTGCCCCCTCAGGCGCTGCTCTGCAACCTGATATTGCAACCACGTCATCTATCAGACTTAGGCTCCATTCACATATAGCGTTTTTCCCCGCGGGACGCAAACGCTTAAATTTTTAATCCGCACGAATGCCACTCGTTTGCGGCCATTAAATAGCCGCAAACATGCAGAATCTGCCGTATTATCATGCTTGTATTATTTTGTGGGCTGCATGGTTTCATACCGCACGGTCTCTGCAATAGTCTGAACAATGCACATGGAAGTACTGCACAATGAAGTATCTTTACAGCCGAATTCACACGGACAGTCGCTTCAGTGTGATTGGAGTCCTAAGTGCCTGGTCCAGGGTCATGTCCCAGGATCCTGGTTCTATTCCTACCCTTTTATCCTCCAGCAGCTGGAGCTCATGTCTGTGGCCACACTTTATTGTTTTGATGGGCTTGCGAAAAATGTACTGTACACCACCGTACACCGCATATCCAGAATGGACCTCCTCTCAATACATATGCAGCATTGACTCAAATGTTGACCTGAGGAGTATTGTTGCAAAAACACCTCCTGTATATGCCCTGTCAAGGGGAACGCCTTTTGGCAAATTCTGGGACAGTTTCATCAGGGAGGTCACCTAGGAAAAAAGTTAGGGTTAAGGTTATAAACATATCTTATAAGTTACAACACATAGAAAATTAGCCTATATATATATTGCCATCAGATGGTGTATCTCTTTAAAACATCTTTTATTATAATTTTAAAATACGGCTGATGCAGTTTCCTGTAGCGCAGTCAGTATCGCCACTTCTAGACTCTCAGCCAAAAATTGCACAGGGATACTGCATATGTTTTTGTATCTGCAGTGCAGTTGGATTGGCAGACTGGCTTATAATCTACTTCCCACATCTGAGCGCAGAAGTCTGATCTTTCTATCTGAATCGTCTTAGATGATGAGTGATTTAAGAGTGGAATGCACACATTAATTATATCATTATATGGGGTGTCTCCTGTTTCCATATCCCTAGTGGATTTGCCTCCTGGTTTAGGACACATGAGAGGACTCACTCAGAGATAGCGTAGTTGGTGTTTTAAGCAACTGATTCCAATAGTATTGCTTTTTCTTATGATCCTCCGTGTTTCTCCTGAATAAGTCCAGCAGAGGCAGTGATGTCTAAAGAAGCAGTGAGCAGTACTAGATGTGGCCAGCTGATTACCAAGCTACAGGCTTGTGATTTAGCTTGTGAATAGCCACAGCTCCTTCTATGTTTTTGTACTGCAAGCTGTACAGTGTTACGCTGCTTTGAATTTGGGAGCAGTGCAGCACCGTTGTCACCCTATCACAGAGGGTGGATTTCACTGGCAAGATCAACAGGTATCTTTTTAGACTTTGCAAGGGGCCTACTTGAAAACTAAACGCAGACATTACATTACATTTTGACTTTTTAAGCTTGATTTCTGATTTGATTCTAGTAAATGTTGTATTTGTTTGTTTTGCTTAAAAGGCCACTCCATGCCCCAAAGAACCAAACAAAGAGATGATCAATGATGGTGCATCATGGACAATCATTAGCACGGATAAAGCAGAATACACTTTCTATGAAGGCATGGGACCAGTCCATGCCCCTGTGACTCCTGTACCGGTTGTAGAGAGCCTGCAGGTATTGTACCCAAGTATGGTTTTCTCCTGTTAAATGTGCACAAGATAATGATAGTAGATCTGAACTTTTCACTTTTTTTTTCTTTTACAAAGTAGTGAATCACCTAGCTGGAATATTTCTGTTGCAGTATTTCAGTGGAAGCTTTTTATAGCAAAATGTTTTTTTTTATTTGGCATCTAGTTTTTTCTTCTGTAAGTTGACGAGTAATGCTGCAGAAATGGTTATATTTGTTTTAGATGGCGTGGGGAAGGTTCAGATTCTGTCAGGTTTTTACTGCAGTCAGTTTCCATGTTGGGTAGATTTTCCGTTGTATTACCGGAACATAAATTAATCAGAAATCCCTGATCATTATTGTTTTTGTCAATTGTGTCCTGTTGGGGAGATTTATCTTTACTTTCTGTCCCAGAGACGTATTATGAATTGAGAGGAAATCTCCTACAAAGATTTCTCTTTAACAGGTGTCCCCGTTGGAAGATCTTTCTTCCGTTTCTGTTTTGGTGACAACTGTAAAATTTAGGATTGCCTTTCACTTTCCAGTTGTCACCACGATAAGTAGCGCCACTTTCCCCTCCGCAGACAGCAATAAATACCTGACAGAGGTTCTAATGATAAACATTACATGTATTTTGCATCTTTGGAGATTGGTAGAACATTTATACCATGGTAAATCTTTATTCTTAAATCCTATTCTCCAAGAATAAACCATACAAACACAAATTCACATACATTATAAACTCACAAGAAAGTGCATAATTGTTAGCATATGTGGAAATGTGCATTAACCCCTTAAGGACCCTTTCGCTGTCAAGGCCTTTTTTCCCCTCTTTTTGCACACACGTTATAATCCACATTTTAGGCCTGAAAATTACTTCAAACCCCCAAACATTTTATAGTTCATAAAGCCAAGACCCTGTAGAATAAAATGGTGGCAGTTGCAAATTTTTATGTTGCACTATATTAGCGCAACTCTTTATCAAACCCCAAAAGGTAATAAAAAATGCACTTAAGTTAAATTTAGTGCCCCAAAACACAATACAATGCTCATTCTTTTGGTAAAATATAAAAGTTTAGGTTGCGACAAGTAAATACCCAACATGCCCAGGTTAAAAATTGTGTGCGTCTGTGAAACGGCGACAAAATTCTGTACCCTAACAAGTCCGTAGACGACACTTTATGTGCACCCAACGCGTGTTTACGTGGGCGGGGGAAGTTTAAAACATTTTTTTTTTTTACATTTATTTTATTATTTTTTTTAACTTTTTTTTTTTTTTTAACTTTAATTGCTGTCATATAGGGGGCTTACAAGCCCCCCATGTGATAGCATATTGGTGGTGACAGGTACTCTTAAAGGTTATAATGAGGGTCCAAAATACACCAAGTATCACCTTTCCACTCTAAATAAGTTATTGAAGTGCAGATCGCACTTCAATAGCTTATTTCTGGGCTTCAGGAGCTGAGCATAGACAGTTCAGGAACCGGAAGTGATGCACTTTACCGGCCCATAGAAGTGATCTGGTTGCAGCTGAGCTGCCAGAATTGCTCCTACTATAAAGCGGACAGCTGGCTCTACAAATGTAAACGGAGTCTGTTTAAACGGGCTGCTGCCAGTCACTGGTTGCTAAGGGGTTAATGAAAGGGCCGTAGGTAAGAGAAAGTAAGAACATTCATTGCACCACAGCACCTTCAGCTGCAGAGGTCAGTGTTGGTTTGTTTTTAAGGTGACCAGTGTTTTGTTATGTCATTATTTTACGTCTTATTTTACGTGTTTTTTTGTAAGCGGAGTACAACAATTTTCCAGTTCTTCCTGCTGTTTTTGAACTCGTAAAGTTTTTTTGCATCATTAGGCTTAAGGATAAAAATGTCTTAAGAAAAAGGTGAAGTTGAACCTGCCCTCTATCAGCTATTATTAGCTGTGAGGGCTAAAGTGCAGTAACTTCAACTTTCACTGTAATTACTCTCTTGACCGCTTTACTGACTGTGCCCAGAAATGTCTCATTATGTCTACTCTCGCTGTACAAAAGATTTATTTTTGGAATAAAACCTGCACACAGAAAAGCAGGGGATGTAGAGTATGTGTTTAATGTGTTTTTGTTTTTTTCCCCCTAATAGCTGAATGGCGGAGGAGATGTAGCAATGTTGGAACTTACAGGACAGAACTTCACTCCAAATTTGCGTGTTTGGTTTGGGGATGTGGAGGCGGAAACCATGTACAGGTAACTATAATTTAGCTATAACCAATATTAGAGGTGCACTGAAAGGAAAAATGTCAGGCTGAAACCGAAATGAAAAATGTTAGGCAGAAACCGAAAATGTTTTTTTCTAACTTTTTCAATTTATTTAAATATTATATTTTCTTTTTTATTAACTTGTCATTTTTTTAAATATTTTACTTTTATTAAAAATTTTTACTTTACTTTTAGATGCTTCGGGGAAATATTAGAGGTCTAAACAGATCCCTGATATTTCCTTTTTAAAGTAGAAAAAGAGATTGAGAACTCAAAGTCCTCAATCTCTTTTTCTGCAGCCCCTGTTATCAATGAACAGGGATCCTCTATACTGAGTGTTCCTGTTCATTCATAACATGAGGACAGAGTATGTTTACTATAGCCACAATCATGAATGAACAGGAGGTGATGTAGATCCCTTCTCATTCATTCATAATTGAGGCTATAGTAGCCATACTATTTCCTTAATTATTTACAAATTATCCGCGATCACTGATTGCACCTGAGTGTACCTCTCTCTTCCTGACAGCTGTCACAGGAGGCTGAGCGAGAGGAGAGCTCAGCCTCCTGTGACAGTGCTGGCTGTCTCTGCCCACACACCGCTCTGCTGGACTGTGACAGGAGGCTGAGCGGTATGGGAAGAGAGACGCCGGCCGCTCGCAGCGCTGTGACCGTTTCACTCCTCCCCGCTGGGACACAGAGCAGCACCCAGTGGGGAGGAAAGAAAGCAGGGATGTGCCGCTATATGGGCAGAAAGATAGCATTTTCGGCATCTTTCGGGGGCCGATATATCTGTGCATCCCTACCCAATATGTTATTTTTCATCCTTTCTTAGCTGTTATCTTTTTATCTGATAAAATAGATCTTTTATAATAATATATAAAATGTATTTAACAGCATTAATCTCTATACTCCATTTACATAAATGTCTTGTTTTGAATCTTCCACCTTTCATCAATTTGTATATTTTCTACTTAGGTGTGCAGAAAGCATGCTATGCGTCGTCCCTGACATTTCCGCTTTCCGAGAGGGCTGGAGATGGGTACGCCAGCCGGTGCAAGTGCCAGTTACATTGGTCAGGAATGATGGCATCATCTATTCCACCAGCCTTACCTTCACCTACACCCCGGAGCCTGGACCTCGGCCCCATTGTAGCGCAGCAGGTGCCATTCTGCGAGCCAACTCTAGCCTCCTGGCATCAAGCGATTCCAGCACGAACAGCGAGGGAAGTTACACAAATGTCAGCACAAATTCCAGCAATGTCACATCATCCACCGCAGCAGTAGTGTCCTAACCACAGACTTTTGTACCTGGACTTCAGCTGACTTTTAGTTTTTACATGGAAGGACATGTATAATGAACTTTTTTCTTTTTGGCTGTTTACTTTTTAGGTTTTTGTTTTGTGCTTTTATGGGAAAAAAATCTTTCTCCATAATTGTTCGTATCACCTGAACCTTTTTGAACTGCAAGTGCCGAGCAAAATTTTAAGCCACAATAATGAAATGGAATAAAAACATATAATGTTAGTCTAACAACACCACTGTATATCTATTTTTAGCCATATTTTTTAAGAAAAAAAAAAATGGACAGAAATAGAAAATGTGGTTTGGGGGTAAAAACCTTCATTAAACTAGACTGCATGAGCATAACATAGTTTTTATGGACCAACAGCCTTGTATAAGCTTTAGTGAAAGGTACATTTTCACCATACCTTTTTTTATATCACAACATATAGTACACTTTTGTTACCAAATATTTTTTTTTTTTTTTCCTAGGGTA